CAGACGCAGACGCAGACGCAGACGCAGACGCAGACGCAGACGCAGACGCAGACGCAGACGCAGACGCAGACGCAGACGCAGACGCAGACGCAGACGCAGACGCAGACGCAGACGCAGACGCAGACGCAGACGCAGACGCAGACGCAGACGCAGACGCAGACGCAGACGCAGACGCAGACGCAGACGCAGACGCAGACGCACTGACACAGACACACACATAGACATCATCGCGAAAATAGTCAAAACGGATTCAGGGGACCTCAGAACGAAAAAATCCGTCGAAAACTCGAGGTCGAAAAAATCATGATTACTATACTTTCCTTATATCTGTATACAGATAGGAAAGTAAAAATGTAATAGTACAAGTATACTCGGTACACTCGAGCACCCCAGAGGGAAATGATTCGAGAAGCTTAGTCATCTAGAAATATCACATAGAAATGGTACCCAGGTTGTCTCATGACAACATTCTTACCCAACTAACTATAACAATAGTATTATTATAATATTTTGAAAGACGTCGTTTTGTAACACCTTGCTCAGTTCTCCCCGAGGTACTCCCCTAGTTCAAATCCTTGGTACGCTCTTGTTCTGGTACCCACTATTTGTAGATTTTCAAATGAGCTTTGCTGTATTTAACAGAGAGAAAATTCTAGCAAAGATACAGGGTGGCCTAATTAAAACAGTCTATCTGAAATATTTTTCTAGAAGTTTTTTTAGGAAATAGCGATCTTTAATTCATGGATGTAGGTTCATCCCCCTGGACGGGGTGGCAACCCCTTCACGAATACTAAATGGCACGATGGGTCAAGTGTCACATCATTTTAAAGGTATTTCAATTCTCTTTTTTGTTCTGAGTTAAAATTAATGTAAAACACCTGTTGGGAATGTCGATGAAATATCGAAGAAAAAAATTTTCAAACAAGTTTTAATTAATCAAATGTTCAAATTGCGACCCATTTATTTCCATGCAGTAATAAAGTTTTTGTATGACATGTTCACGAACATTTCGTTTCAGGGGTTGTTTTTCCACATGATTGCACTATTCGGTGGCGAAGATCTTCTAAAGATGTAGGTTTCGTCTTATAAAAAATACTTTTTAAATAACCCCACAAGAAAAAGTCAAATGGTGATAGTTCTGGCGATCTTAGGGGCCATTAAATAAAGCCCCTTCTACTAATCCAGTGTTAGGAAAAGTTAGTAAAAGTTGATGGATCAAAGAATAACCGAAAATTGGAGAGTTATAGAAAAGTTTCACGAATTTCAAAACTTGGACTCAATGGTTAATTCCTGGATCCTGGAACGATAACAAAACATTGGAAAAGCACAAATAGCTTGATAACTATAATATTATACTCATTAAAAGAATATAAATGTTATTTTAATATTTCTAAATTAGATACTTTAGTTATCGAATCTTTAACTGATTTTCTCTTTCCTTTCTCAATTAAATTGAACTAAATAAACTATTCAAAACGAAAAAGAGCTACTTCTTTTTTTATAAATCTTATTTGTTCCTCAAATTATAAACCTAAAAGTATGTGTTCACTTAATAAATATAGATTATAACAAAATGTACTGTATTTTTAAAGAAAAATCCAATACTTGCATATATAAAAAAATGTCTGCATTTTCCCTTTTCGTTATGAGTAGTTCATGAAAGAAAACTAATGAAGTAAGAAGCGTTTCACGATTACTCGATAGTCATATAAAATCATATAAAATATCGGCTTTCAACTTCTCGTGATAAGTTAAATGTTTTTGAAAAAAAAGGACAATTGATTTTAAGTAATTCAGAGTTAAAAATTAAAATAGTTTTCTCATCAACAAAGAAAGCCACAATACCTGGCTCCAATATTATGTTGATCTTTTATATAAATTTTCTTTTTCATCTGTCACAGTTTCCTTATTCTTCTTCAGGTGTCGTAACTAAAATAGTTTAAATAAAAAGAAAAAATTAAGGAACAAGAAATTCATAATAATAACCGCAATAACAATCTAACGGAACCACAATAATGATATAGATAACGATCTAATCAGTTCTCTTTCAAATTAATTTGAACTACTCGATGGAACGCAGTGTGTAAAATTAAAATACTCATTGTCGTATCTTCCCATCGTAAGAAACAATAAAGTTGCTATTATTAGAAATCAACCACGAGGAACAGGAACGTTTTTATTAGATATAATTTGAATTATGTCATGGAAAATCTAAATATAGTAACATACATTATGTAGGTAAGTAAAGAGACATCTCAAAATATGTATAGGTGATATCAAATAACAATTTAAGTTATACTAAAATGTGGTCAATTGCGGTTATCTTCTAGAGTATGTTATGTATTTGATGTTAATACATTGTGACCTAAAAGATTTATTGTCCCTTCTGTCGCTAAGGCAGTAAAAAAGGAATACACTCGACGTCTATAACGACCCTTTCAAACCTGTGTTCCCAAGGAAGTGTAGAATTTTGTATGCTTCCATGTATAGTGAGATTTTGTCTCCAAGTTTACTAAGGCGTTATTTGAATCGACAATGACATATAAGTAACCTCGTTACTATGCTTAGCCTTTTCTTGCTCAGACGGATACAAGCTTTCTATTTTTTTTGGTCATAGTCACCGATAAGAATCTAATTCATAAGGTCATTTCAAGTGTCAGTTCTTCTACTTTTCAATTTCTTTTTTAAACTCTTCTAATATTGTGATACCGCAAAGCGGTTCAGGTCCCACAAAGACTGTTGAGTTCACTTTCATTTCGGGACTGTCTGCAATCTCGTTACACTTTACCCCGTTATGTCCCGGGATCCAAGTGAGGGAAACTGTATTTTTTCCTCACCTAACTCATTCGGTTTTTCTAGACACCTTCATACCATTTTTGAGCCGATTTCGTAAGAGATCGGCGCTTTGATGACGCTTGGCTATCGGGCAATTTGCCCTTTGTTGCCATTTTCTAAATCTTACCAAACTGATTATTCTTAAAACAAAACTGGTTACTGGGAGTTTTATTATGATACGGATGCTTTATATTCATTTCAACAGTTACAGATGAAACATGAAAAATCTCTTAAAACGATAAGATTTGATTACGGAAATGACATAAAAAACTTTACGTCATTAATTCTGATTAAACAAAAAGCCGAATATTTTCGGGATAGACCTCATACGTTCGGTACAATATTAAACAAAAACCTTATTTTCTATACGGAGGAGGGTCCCTAAGCCCCGAAATCGGCCCAAAAAATATTTCTGGCAAATGTGGTGGAAATTGTTTCTTTCACAAGTTTTAACAATATTGAGCCATTTTCGGGCGAAACGGGTCACCCCAGACCCCCAGCCCCCCAAAAAACACCCTCCAGCCCCCAGGGAAAAAGATTCAAATTATTTCCAGGCAATTAAATCGGAAATTGTTTCTTTAACAAGATCTAGCAATATTGAGTCATTTTTGGGCAAAACGAGTCACCCCAGACCACCAGGCACATCACAAGCACCCCCTAGCCCCACCAGGAATGGACTCACATTATTTTCAGGCAACCGGAAATGGTTTCTTTCACCAGTTCTAGCAATATTTAGTCATTTTCTATCAAAACGGGAATGTAGGAATATGATCTACTCTTCGCGTTACCCGGGAACAAGGACGTGGACCTGGCAGATATATGTTTCCTTGCGGTGCTTGTTTAACGTGAGTCCCCTTGCATCTCACTGGGGTGCTTGTTTACCGTGAGTCCCCTTGCCTCTCACCCTTCCATTCTACCGTTTATTTCTCTTCCTCTTGTTCTTCGAGATTTTCTTCTCCGTCACTTGCTTCTTCCTCTGAAAGTTCGAAATTGGCTGCGTCAACTAAAAAAATCTCCATATTTATCGCTAGTGTAGTAGGGAACATTATTTAAGTGCCTGTAATATCCTAAATACCAAAGAGCAGATGCTATATGAGCACAACAACCTACTACCCTGGCCCCATTTTTGCACTGACAGTACCCCATTTAATTGGGTCGAAACTATCCTTCTCGTACTGGATCCAAAGTTGGTACTGTTTGGAGGTTTCATGTCTGGACTGCAAGAGAATACGGAGGATATCTTCTTGTTCCCTGTGAACATACAGGATATAATTACTATTATCATCCAAATGTTCTCTGGTATACGATGATGCCTGTTTCAACTGATATACTCCAATCGTGATTCTCTGCAAGTCATCAATTGTCGAACGTGGAAACTCGCCAAGTGATGTCGCTTCTATTTTTTCCTATATCACCCGTTTTGTAGCCCAGCGATTGTCCTTAACCATTGCTTTGACATTATTCATTTTTGTACTCAATGCAAGCATTCTTTAGCCAATGACAACATCATCACCAGAATTCGCTGCAGCTCTTGGAGGTCTGTACGCATTACAAATGGCTGAGACGATCCTCACGTAATCTCCAATAAATGGGATTTGAGTATTCGGCATCACTTGAGCGAGTATTTTCCATTTTTTGATCATTCCATTGACAGCCTTCACAACCCATCGTATTTTTTCTCTAAAAAAACAGGGCATTTTAGGTATCAGCCCATACTCTTCCAATGTAGGAATAGAATCTTGAAAACCTCTATCAACGACTAAAATATCTTCTGGCATTACCCACTCTAATAAACTAGATGCTCTCTGTTGTATCAAACCGTTGAAAATACTCGCATCATTATTTTTCCACTCAGCAAAATAAGGCCCGAATATCTCCAGAATATAGCCAGTGGTACTGACTAACATCATGGGTTTGACCAGTGGTCTACCCTTATGGACCGAAAATGGACGACGTTGGAAAGTGTAGTTACTGCTTTTTTTCTATATAAATGTAGGTCCCATCAGCAACAATTACGGCACACTGCTCATTGTTTCCAAAAATGGCTTTTGCTAAGTCTCTTGTGTGTTTCTCTATAAACTCTTATCTGCTGATGTGATTCAAACCAAGATGACGTGGGACAAAATTCTCCATTACAGCTTTTCTTGCAGAGCTAATTGCTTTACCTATGTATCTCCGTGGCATCTGGAGGAGTGTGATAGTCCAGTTCTGAGTTTCATCAAAAGTATAGCAAGACATGTTCGAGAACTTCTGGCAGTTGTGTTTCTAATAGATCCTTTCACGCATTGAAAAAGATTTTCGAAGTTTGATGCAGTTATACCGGTCAGTCTAATACAGTCAGTATCACTTAAGGCACCAGGAACATTAAAGTTCAAAGATCCTTTCCTCGCGAATGATCGCAAATCATCCAAGAGAAGATGAAGTTTCATAGCCGTTAAAGTTGTTGTATTTGAGGCTTGCGGTATTCGAGATTCTTCTTCCTGTTTCACAAAGTTACCTCTTAAATGCCTCTTGCAACATCGTGGCTTACCTTGCATAATCAAACCACGGTTAATGAAAGTTCTACTAGCTCTACAACAAAGAACAAGTTGTTTGTAGGTCAATAATAATTGTAAAAGCAGAGGAACGAAATAAAAAATAATCGGCTACTAACAAGATTATACGACACAACGAGCGAGTGCAGGCAAATATCCTTCAAATGTGGGAACAAAGATGTCAAGAGATTTGGACAGCGGGGACATCAATCGTCTATAAGGTGTTAATGACCCGTATCTCTCTTGTAGAGTCCAATAGAGACTTTTCTTGCGAGAGCGGCTACCGCGTGTAGTACCGCGGCTGCAGGCTATCTATCGACGAGCGCGGAACTATAATAACCAATTCAACAAAACGGATAGTATTGAAGCAGGATATAAATACACCTACATACGCCCAAAAATGACTTAATATTGCTAGATTTTGTCAGATAAACACTTCCCGACTTAATTGCCTGAAAAGAATTTGGGTCCTCTCGTGGATGTGGGGGGTGTTTGGGGGGGGGGGGGGGGGGCTGGGAGTCTAAAAGTCTGGGATGACCTGTTTCGCCCTAAAATGACTCAATATTTTTAGATCTTGTGAAAGAAACAATTTCCGACTTAATTGCCTGAAAATAATTTGAATCTTTTTCTCTGGGGGCTGGGGGGTGTTTGTAAGGGGCTGGGGGTCTGGGGTGACCCGTTTCGCCCAAAAATGGCTCATTATTGCTAGAACTTGTGAAAGAAACATTTGCCCAAAATATTTTTTGGGCCGATTTAGGGGCTTTAAGTTTTATTTTACAAAACACTCGGTTTTTAAACGCACGAAATATTTGTCATCCAAAACAGTTACAGTCTATGTTTATGTTAACACTATTAAGATGCGGAGGTATCGGATTACGAATATGGGAACTAAGGGTAAAATATCAAGCAGGCATAAAATACAGATCATTTTAAATTTGGGTTAGTTGCTTTGCGGAACAAAATGTAAGTTCGTTCCAATAATAATAAACTAGTGAATAATTATAATGTTTGTGAGTAGCTGTTTGCCGAACAGGGTGAGTTTTTCTCACTGAGTAATTATGTTTTATCAATTAGTTTTGTTTTAATTTGTAATCAAGTTATTTTGCAAATTACATTACCCAATTATTATACATCAACCACTTATAGTTAATTTGTCAATTTTCACGTAAAGATATTTTGTCAAGTATTGAGAAAACCTTATATCCTAGGTTACATTAAATAATTAAAACCTATTTGACTATTTACTTATATTTTGTTTTCTTCTACGAGGTGTATTTAAAAGTAAAGTGAGTTAGATTGTCTGTTCTGGCGTAGTACATTGTGGTCACTGTATGCGTTTATTTTGGGATTACTGTGGTCAGTTTTCTAGAGTCGTCGCACCATGGTTGGTGCGGGATAGTGACATTGCGGTCAGTGTGCTAGTAATGGCTTGTTTTATATATCGATCGATGTTTGGGCATTGCGGTCAGTGCCAACAGAATTGAGCATATAACTTTTTGTCAATTATAAAAAATTAAAGTTGTGTCAGTTATATTTTTTTTTATAATCAATATTTTTACATAAAGAGTTATTAGTATAATTTTCTTGTTAATTAAAAGAATAATAAGTATTTTGTTTACGAATATCACCTTTTCATAACTTTCTTCAATATAAAACTGCTTCTGGTAAACTTGATTGCTCATACTTGTTTTTCTGTTATTTCAGGTACGCCATCTCATACGTGTATTAATTAAGTATTGTATCTACAACTGTCATTATAGGGATGTATTATATGCGTATCTAAGGCAACATAAAGCAATCCATATTTCACTAGTGAGAATATATTCATATTACACGATTTTTGTCAATTATACCCCACTAGAATTAAAAATCATTAGATCTAGTATGCGTTTGACAAGTTAGTTGACAGCATGTTGACATTTATTCGTTGTTCCCGATTCTTTTTTGAAATTAAACTTAAAATATTAAGCCCGTTTTTAGTGTTTATCAATTAAAAAAATGGAAGACGATGATTACATGTGTAAACTATTTCGCAGGGTTGAGTTTTTAAAATAAAGAAAATAAAACACCGATAACCAATTTAAGTAAGACTTTATCATAAAACGGCCACTAAACGAGTGAATACATATCAATACAAATTGTCTCAACGAGAATCAGGTATGCGTCCCTTTTTCAAGTGTTCCCGTCTACGATAATATCCTAAAATAATAAAGTCGCCTAACACCTCCTGAAATCCGCGACGCTGCTAAAGTGGTGTCGTTGGAATTATTACCTGAAATATCTCGGAAAAATTATGAGATTGCATACAATAACTTTAAACGAGTTCCTGTATAAATTGGCGTTTTATTTCACACGGTGGCTTAAATACTCCTCATTTGAAAGGTCTTTTAATTGTGAACAATCTTGTCAATTCTATTTATAACAACTTCAAAGAATTTTTTCTAAAAGTCCCCTTTTCGTTTTCGGTGAGCCCCCATATTCAGTTGTAGATAAAGTATAGTATTCAATTCGTGTATATTGAATAGTATACTATTATATTACTATTATTTTATTTACGTTTTATTGTTTTTAATTATTTAATACTTATTTCTAACTAATTTTAATTTGTTCTAAATTTTAACTTTCAATTTATAGTTATTAAATCGTTTATTGAATTAATTTCTAGTTTTTCCTGACATTGATTAAATAACTGAATATTACCGCCCAAGTTTATAATAGATATTTTTAAAAGACAAATATCTTCCTATAAACCTGACCTGTATTGATTGAATTTGTGGTTTTGTGCAAAATTCTCCTGTCTTAAAGTTTTTTTAAACCTACCACTTCCCGGTACAAAGGTCATAGATCTGCGATTCTATTTTGGAATAGGTAGTTGTGAAACATGCGAAACGATATGACGTCGACACATCGCGTGTGTAGGTGAGGATTGTTGTGCACGCCGCCTTTGATTAGACGCATTCCATAATCGTAATGAGATTAGTTAAATTTAGCCTAAACAGATGGGAAACTATCAAAGAATGCTAATAAACGCGTTTCTTCTATTATTTGTTGAGTGAATTTGTTTGTTGAGATAAGCGAGCGTGCCTTTACTTCCTTGATTTATTTATATTAATGAAACGGGTTTTTATGGTTGCAGTCTATACTTGATTTATTTGGGAGCGTATCAGTAGAATGAATTGAGAGTAAAAAGAAATAAAAAAAAATAAATGCGGGTATAGATAACGTTAGTTGGCTTCGTGAATAGAATAATTGGCCAATTTATTGTCATTCGAAAAAAAAAAATGCTTTACTACCTACTTTGAGCAGAATACTATTTATTAATTGGGTATTGCTGTAACACAGTTTTTGATCCTATTTTTCTCTCTAAAATGTTCAACTGAAGAATTTTTAAACTAATTACTGAGGCCCTTCCTATCCTGTCATACTCTGTCAATACAAATTAGCGCGGTGTTGCCAAGTGTCCAATTAAAATCAATAAAAAAGAAATATAAAAAAATTCCTTATTTTTGACATAGCATTTCCATGCTCTTTAAAAAGCAGTTCTATTAATTTATTTCCGGTTTGGCTAAAAAAAGGTCAAACTGTACTCTACACAGATGGGTAGTGTAAAAAAAAGTTATCAAGAAATTTAACAGACCAACCGGTTTTTTTTTTGCAAAAAAATTGTTGTATTTCACACATCTGTTAAAAAAAAAGGTTTGCACTTGTTCGCATGTAGTATGTAGTGTAAACTATGTTAATTAATTTTAAATGAAATAAATCGGATTTTAATATAGAATCGAATTTAATCGGTGTTATGAACAATAATACATAAAATGAAACGTATCGAATGAATGTCTATGTAAGAATGCCGTGCTTTATCACCAAATATTCTTATGCGACCCAGTCCGACGTATCGTTCTACGAAATATGAGTAGCACTCGTCAATCATGACAGGGTGGTCCTAGCCTAGGGATAAACGAAACATCCGAGTGGTTATAGTCGGCTAACCTGATAAATTTTCGCGTCCTCGCGAAGAGTAATCTGTAACATTCAAAACAAACAAAGTATTAATTAAACTGAAATTAATGAATGTGATCGCGAATATTTCTATAACAAATATACTATATCGCTTTCCGAAACTTTCGTAACAGTTTCATTTTATCTGAAGTACCAATACCCGTATAAGCTGTCCTACAACGTTTGGACCCTGGCAGTTCGTCAACCACGTACCAAATAGTTCGAAGGGAGTTTTCCCTGTAGTGGAATTAACCGTCAAATTAATTCCTCATTTTACATCTGCTACAGCTTCGTCCCAACGATTTTCGTCGTTAGTTGAAGCTATAACTGTTCACCGTTCTACTTGGCCGTAAGCGCAATGAGTCGAAGTAGTACATACTACATGTTTAACACCTAAAGTCAAACATACCTGTTTAACACCTAAAGTTAAATATACTTGTTTAACACTTAAAGTCAAACATACCTGTTTAACACTTGTTTAACACCTAAAGTTAAACACATCTGTTTAACACCTAAAGTTAAACACACTTGTTTAACAACTAAAGTTAAACAGTATTCCTTTAAATTTCTGCTCGTAAAATCAGTGTCACGGTCGCAATAAACGTGCAGGAACCCCGAACATTTATTTTTAACTCCATCTATAAATTTCAGATTTGTATTTTTGTATCACTTTTAAAAACACAAATTTCGTAAAGCCGTCAACTGTTACTCTTATACAAATTTCTTAAAGCTGTTAATAGATATGTTCAGATACGAGTTTTCCTAACACTTTTATACAAATTTCTTAAAGCCGTTAATTGATTTGATGAGATACGAGTTTTCCTAACACTTTTACAAATTTCTTAAAGCCGTTAATTGATATGATGAGATACTAGTTTTCCTAATACTCTTATACAAATTTAGTAAAGTCGTCAACTGCTAAATGACCTATCACGAGGGTGATGCAATTTACTAACATTAAAATTATTAGTCATGCTGTTTTTTGGGATTAACCATCTCTTTCC